GTTTCCCCGGTGGGGCCATTCTCTCACCTATACCTTTTTGTTTAAAATTTCCCATAAACCCGTCGGGAAAGGTTTTAAAAAGGAAAAAATAAACTACCCTTTTAAATTTATCACATCAAAGTAACTTTGGGGGCTAGAAATTATACATATTAGTGAAAGATAGATTGTTTTAAAAAAAAGGATAAAAAATCATTTAAACTGAGGTGTGTCCGAGAAAATTATGTTCTCAGCCTTTGAAGTTTACATAACATGTTTTAACTTTAAAGTCCTTAAAATTTTGAGCCCATTAAAAAATAATGCCTCTCAAAGGTTTCCCCCTAATTCAAATTTTCTACTTTTCTTTTGGGGATTTCTTTTTCCCGGGTAATGCAACAAAAGCTGGCCTAAAACTAAACCCTAAAGTTTTTTTTTAGTTTTTTTTTTTTTATTTTTAAACTGGAAAGCAATTAAACCATACAGGCGTTCCTTGCTCCTAAAATCCCTTTCCACTTTCGACTTCCCGACCCATCTCGTACGCACAGGACCCCCAAATATTCACATCCCGTACCAGCCACCAAATGGGCCCCGGGCTCGAAAAACACCGGGCGCTGAAAGGGGTAGATCTACTTACAGCCTTTCACTACGCAAATTGTTGCCTGACTACTGACCTTTCTACGCCACCGAGCCTACCAAACGATAAACACCCGATTACACAAAGTGCCACCATGTGGATGAGGATCACCCGTGGAAGCGGTCCCATAAACCACGCTCGCCATTGCTCCTGGACGGTCGGCTTTCGTATACCACTGTCGAAACCAACTTGCAAGGCGGCATGGCCCCCAGCTGGGATAGGGGGGAACCCGGCATCCCGGCATTACAAGCGTTTCGCATCGACTTAGCCACAGAGCCGACATTCTGACATATACAAGTACCAAAATTCGTTTACATTGTAGCTCCATACACAGGAGTTTTGGTATGAATGGTCGAATGATATACAAAATAATAATTAATTATATATTTCGTTTGCAATAATAATTCATGCTATGAAAAAGATGCGAAGTTTTTTTGGTAGAAATTCAAGAATCTGTCATTCCTGATTTCTGATTACTGCTTTTAAGAATCGACAACACAGATCTTTCTGCCAGTGTCTTCGTGCTGAACAAAACTCCAGAACGTGTCTTACAAGACTGTCCTCTCCTGAGGGAGCTGTGAAGCAACATGTGAGCCACACCCTACAGACCTGACAACTAAGTTTTAAGGAACCCTGAGAGACCTTAAGATAGCATTTTAGTTTATGGCTCACACTGGATTAGGTATGCAACGACCAGAAATAGCTAAAGAAGACAAAGATGTGGCTTGAGGTTTGAAGTTTTTTTTTGACTAAGGGATCAACATCATTGCACAGTGGTAAGTAACTTATAGCGCTCCTTTCTTCTTCTAACTCAGTTCAAGTCTGAAGAAGCTCAGCACAGTGCACAGGCTCTGTAGCACCGGCGAGGATCCTGAAATAATTTTGGTAGGAATTTCTTAACTTTAAAATTTTTACCTGAGGCAGCGCCGTTATGCTACTCTTTTCGATTTCCCACTGCCAAGGGATTTTTTTTTACGTGCGCTACAATGCACACGGCGTCCGATCTCACTACCCAGAGACTAGTAGAAATTATTAGGTCCAAGTCCACGGTGACAAAATCCCAGTCCTTACCGGGGATTGAACCCGGCACCTCAAACACTCGAGGCGGACACCATGCGTTTCTTCCCTCTCACTTCTCCCTCTTCTAGTTTCTTCTCCTCTTTTTCCTGTCCAACTGTTCACCCACACGCCTTTTTCGCTTTTCTAAAAAGAACAGTCTGCATACAAATTACCAGATCTGTAAAGCAGATGTGCAGGCAAAACTCAAATTCTGGGATCAGATTAAAGTACAGAAGAGGACGAACCAAAACTTTCCGTCAGAGTTAACAACCGTTTAATGGTATGCAGAATTGTTGGTTACTGGCCTCTCGAAGCGGGTGCACTCCGACATTGATGCACACACCCCCCTTAGTGGCCTCATACGATATGCTTGTCGTACCTAACACATTGTCCGGCGTCTGTGGCTTAGGCGTTACAACGAGCTTTGAAATGCCGAAGGTGCCAGGTTTCGATCCCAGCTGCGGGCTCTGCCGCCATGCGTTGGTTTCGTCAGTGTTATCGGGGGGGAGAAAGCCGACCGTCCCATTAGCAATGGCAAACTACTAGACGTGAATTTGCCTAGAAAAACACAAACCAAAAACTTCTGGGGCCGGTACTGCAAACGTCCTGTAACAGGATACGCAACTAACTTAAACTTACCTAAGACATTATGACGAGAGGCAGGTGTTGCCTACCTTGAGATGCCCGTGTGGCATGTTGAGGTTGTGGTGTATGAAAACTTGATTCCCTCCAGCAGTTGCCAGGACCAAGCGGTTTGCAGACAGGCGGATCCGCCGGTGAGAGAGCTGGACGATCTGCATGTACTCCGCCAGCGTATAGTCACACAGGTCCAGGGCGATGTACTCACTGCTGCACGTCTCGCTCATTCCCTGCATTGCATTCAACAAGTACTACTACTAACAATATCACTACTACCACCAACACCACCACCACCACCACCACCACCACCACAGCCACCACCACTACCACCACCACTACCACCACCACCACTATCACCACTACTATTTCTACTACTAGTACTACTACTTATAATACTACTAATTCTACTACTACTACTACTACTACCACTAACTACTACTATTACTACTACTACTATAACTACTACTGCTGCTGCCGCTACTACTGCTACTACTACTAACTACTACTACTACTTACTATTACTACTACTGCAGCTGCTGCTGCTGCTACTACTACTACTACTACTACTAACTACTACTGCTGCTATTACTACTACGACTACTACTTGAAACTAGAGACAACATTGGATATATTAAAAAATTTTATCAAAGCGAACAAAAGAAGAAGAAGAAGAAGAAGAAGAAGAAGAAGAAGAAGAAGAAGAAGAAGAAGAAGAAGAAGAAGAAGAAGAAGAAGAAGAAGAACTACTAATACTACTATTACTACTGCTGCTGCTGCTACTACTATTACTATTACTATTACTATTACTACTACTGCTGCTATTACTAGTACGACTACTACTTGAAACGGCTTTTGTTCAGCAGCTAGACGTTCGATTGCGCATCAGAAGGTCATGGGTTCAAATCCTAATGAAGCTTTTTTTTATTAATGACCTTGTCTTCCAGGTCGACTTAGCCTTAAATGGATACCAGCTTAAGTCCTGGAAAGTAAAGGCGGCCGGCATGATGTTGGCCCCATTCCCAATCAGGGGTTTATAACAATATCAGTCTAGTCTTGTATGTCCGATGTGTCACTGGCTTGTGAAGGATTTTTTAATGCTACTACTACTACTACTACTACTACTACTACTACTACTACTACTACTACTACTACTACTACTACTACTACTACTACTACTACTACTACTACTACTACTACTACTACTACTACTAGCACTACAACTGCTGCTGCTGCTGCTACCACTACTGCTACTACTACTGTTACTGCTGCTGCTGCTGTTACTACTGCTACTACTACAGCTGCTGCTACTATTACTGCTGCTGCTGCTACTAAAACTTCTACCACCACTACCACAACCACAACAACTACTATTACTAATGGTACTACTACATTGCATACTTGCTATTTTCGTTCGTTGGGGTGACGTAACAGTGTTGTGCCTATTTACAGCAAAGCTGCGATTTTTGTGCCATTCAGACGACGCCGTAGCGGCGTTGGAGATACACTCACGGTGGCGGAAGTCTGAAATTGACACGTGACTGAGGCACGTGACTGAGGCCCTGTTAGAGTATATTTTCGGCCTCGATAATTTGGGACCGTTTTTCGGAAGATAGCCCAAGCTTTTCTGCGACAAAATGAACTGTTGATGACCTGGTGCATAAATTATCCCACAAACCTTGCATCTGAGGATAAAGTGATGGTCAAGTTCCGGGTCACACATGATGTCCAGCAGGTAGGGATCTATGTAGGCCTGGGACTTCTCTAGAATGAGGACAGCCACCTCGCAGCCGTCGGTAGTGAACCCCAGCACCAGCGGGTACTCCCTAGGGTCAGAGATGGAGATGTTTTCTAAAACAGATCAACTCTATGACAATGGTTAGTTGCGTATCCTTCACAGGACGTTGCAGAACCAAACCCAACAGCCCCAGGCTGTTGTGTGTTTTTTCTAGGCAAATTTACGTCCAGTAGTTTGCCATAGATTTATGGACGGTCGGCTTTCTTGATACCACTGTCGAAACCAAGGCGCGTGGCCCGCAGCTGAAATCGGACCCGGCATCCCGGTATTACGAAGCATTGGCATCGACTTAGCCATAGAGATGACCTATGACAATGACATGGTCTAAAACAGTGTTGTCTTCTTGTGACAGTTTTAAAATGATGAAGCAAAGTGAAGAACCTTTGTCCACGCCTTCAGGCTATTGGGAATCTAGGTCAACATCACGCCGGTCGCCTTTACATTCCAGGACTTAACCTGTACCCATTTAGGGCTGAGCTGGGGAAAAACATTCGGCACCGTCAGGAACTGAACCCAAGACCTTGAATTCCATAGGCGAATGACTAGCCGCCTCACCAATTACTTGGTGATTTGGCAGATCTGTGACATTTTCCCTATGCAACATTTTTTTTTTTAAATTAAAATATGTGCATAATTCTTGAAGAGCAAAGACGATAAATATACTTTAATGTGACGAATGTATGCTGGGAAATATTAATTAAGTATTTGGGAATAAAGCGACATCCGCCAGGGTGGAAATGATATGCCAGGGCCAAGGGAGATATCACTGCACGTCTATTTGATAAGCTCGGAATATTCTTCCACCTGAAAAGCCAGTTCGGACCTTCTTCTTCTTCTTCTTCTTCTTCTTCTTCTTCTTCTTCTTCTTCTTCTTCTTCTTCTTAAATACGCACCTCACAATTAAATTTAGAAATTTTAAAACCTTTAATTCAGAAGTATTTTTAAATGATTTGCAAAACGCACAGCTAGAGCATGTTTATCAGCTTTCTGAACCAGATGATGCGATAGCATACTGGACAAAAACTGTCTACAATGTGTTTGATAAACATGTGCCGGTTAAAGAAGTTAGGGTTAAAAATCAAACTAAGTCCCCATGGATCACTAGTGAAGTTCTGGAGGTTATGAAAGATCGAGACATGGCACATAAAAATAAAAATGTCATCGAGTATCGTAAGCTAAGAAATAAAGTGCAGTATATGATCCGTAGGATCAAGAAAGATCATTTTAATAAATTGATTATAGATAAATCAAACAGTACAGACATATGGAAGGCTATTAACATGCTGACCAAACAGGAAACATCATTCAGATTCTGTAAAACCAGATTCTCTTACTTGTAATGATTTCAGTAAATATTTTAAATCAGAAATAGAAAATTTAAAATCCACCATACCAGAAGCACAGAGTGACTTAAGCCTGTTATCATCATTTAGTGATGGCAAATGCATTAATGATTGTTCTTCTGAGATTCCTCTGATGACTGTTGCTGAAGTATATAAATACCTCACCAACCTCAAGCAGACAAACTCATCTGGCTTGGATGGTGTCAGCAATCGAATTCTTCGATGTGCTGCACCAGTGATAAGCGATTCCTTAACTTTCATATATAATCAGTGTCTTGCCAAGAACTACTTTCCTTCTGCATTTAAAGTTGCAAAAGTTTATCCCCTGTATAAACCTGGCTCAACTGATAAAAGTTCTGTGGGTAATTATAGACCAATTTCTTTACTATCATCACTATCAAAACCATTAGAGAAACACATACATAAAATAATATTTCAGCATTTAAATAGCAACAATCTAATCATCGATAGTCAGTCAGGGTTCAGGCCTAAATACTCTTGTCATACTGCCTTGACAAAAATGACAGACAACTGGCATGTTAACATCAACAATGGCAAGATGTGTGGAGCAGTTTTTTGTTGATTTTAAGAAAGCATTTGATATGGTTGATCATGATATTTTAATTAACAAGTTAATTACCTCAAAAGCTAACAGCAATTTAGTAAATTTTATAAAGTCATTTTTGTCTGATCGCCGACAAGTAGTTTCCTTTGAGAACTGCCTTTCAGATTCCACACAGCTAAATATTGGCGTTCCTCAGGGTTCAATACTTGGACCATTGCTTTTTGCCACATATATTAATGACCTTCCGTTACATCTTAGCATAACATGTGACTTATTTGCAGATGACTGTACTATATACACTAATCATGAGAACTATGATGAGTTAGGACGTTCATTACAGAATGAACTAGATAAGCTTATTAAATGGAGTAATGCTAATCGCATGCAAATTAACATAACTAAAACTAAATCTATGGTAATAGCAACCAGACAAAAGTTACAGATGTTAGACTTAAACAAGCCTCCACTTGAGCTGTATGTTGACAAATTACTTATTAGTAATGTTAATGAACACAAAACATTAGGTGTTATAATTGATAGCAATTTAACTTGGTGTTCTCATGTTCATGCCATAACCAAGAAAGTAGCACAAAAAGTTTATCAGTTAGCCAAAATTCAGCACTTTCTGGATCAGAGCACACGTAAACTATTTTATGTATCTTACATTCAAGCCCATATCGACTATTGTTCTACGGTTTGGGATGGTTGCTCCAAATCCAACTTAAAACGACTGTGCTCTCTACAAAATCGCGCTTTACACCTAGTCTCAGATAGAAAGCACGCGGACAAAAATCATCTCTATAGCCAACTAAGAATTCTCCCATTTAATAAACGATTAATTTTTAATAAAGCCAAATTTGTTCATAAAATATTAGCCCAGAACACTGCAGATTATCTTTTCAGGTTAATTCACACCAACCCCAAGAACAGCAAACGCCTAAATTTATTGCATTTGCCGAAGCCTAGAATAGATCTATATAAAACAAGTTTGTCATATTCTGCTGCTCATTTATGGAATCACCTCCCACTCAATCTAAAAAATATGAGTATGTACTCATTTAACCGCAGCCTTTTTAAATTCATGCTTACTAGTGATTATATGCCACCATAGATATAGCTAATAATTTCCATGCATTATTATCTTACTTATATGTATTATGCAGGTGTGTGTGTGATTGTTAGTGTGTGTATGTGTATGTATATAGATGTGTGTTTGTATGCATGTATGTTGTAAGTATCTGGGCGTATATATGTGGGTGTATGTGCGACTGTACATGAGTGTACGTGTGATTCTAGGTGTGTGTGTATTATTTATACAAGTATGTATGTATGTATGCAGGTGTGAATATATGTATGTGGGCGTCTGTGTGATTGTATATGTATGCATGCATGTGTGTGTATGTATGCATGCATGTATTTGTGTATGTATGCATGATTGATGAATGTATGTATGCATATGTAGCTGTGTAAGTATGTGGGTGTATGTGTGTGTGTATATGCATGTATGTGTGTGTGCATAAATGTCTGTGTATGTAGGTGTGTGTATTTTATGTTTGTGTATGTTTGTATGCATATATGTATGCATGTGTGTTCTTGTATGTTCATGTATGTATTGATGTATGTTTGTTTTATGTATACATGTAGAAGTAGTCTATGTATGTATGTATGTATGTATGTATGTATACATGTAGATGTATGTATTTGTGCATAAATGTATGTATGTATCAGGTTTGTCTGTATACGTATGAGAATGAATGTATGTAAATGTAGCCATGTAAGTATGTGTGTGTGTATTTATGCATGTATATGGATGTATGTAGGTATATGTAGATGTATCGGTATGTGGTGTGTGTGTGTCTTTTTATAAATGTTGGTATGTGTTTGAGTATGTGGGTATATATTATGGATGTGTATGTATGTATGTGTTATCTGGGCATGTGTGTGATTGTGGGTATATGTGAATTTGTGAAGGTATATTTAGGTTTGTAAGTATGTGTCTTTATATATATATATATATATATATATATATATATATATATATATATATATATATATATATATATATATATATATATATATATAATGTATGTGGAAAGTATGTGCGATGCATGTGATGTATGTATGTGGGTATCTGTATGGGCGATTGTATATGTAAGTATGCATGCATGCATGTGTGTCTGTTTATGTATGTATGTATGTAAAGATATCGGTGTATGTATGCATGTATGTGTGTGTATGTATGCATGCATGTGTGTGTGTATTTAGGTAAATATGAAAGTATGTATGTGTGTAAGTATGTGAGTGTATGTATGGATGTGTGTATGTTTGAAAGAATGTTAAAGTATTTGAGTGTATGTATGGATGTGTGTATGCATGTACATGTAGTCCATGTATGTATGTATGTGTGCATATATGTATGTAGGTGCATGTATTATGTATGTCTCTGTATTATGAGAATGTTTCTATGTAAATGTATCTTTGTAAGTCTATGGGTGTAAGTGTATTCATACATGTATATGCATGTTTGTCGGTATATGTAGCTGTGGATGTGTATGTATTTATGAATGTATGCATGTATGTAAGTATGTGGGAATGTATTATGTATGTGTATGTATGTATAAAAGTATCTATGTGTGTGTATATATGTATGCATTATATGGGGTGTGTGTGATTGTGGGTGTGTGTGTATGCATGCATGTGGATATATGAATGTATATTTAAGTTTGTTTGTGTGTGTATTTATGTATAGGTGTTGTAAGTATGTGTGACTGTATATGAGTGTATGTGTGTACATAATGTAGGCAAGTATGAATGTATGTATACATGAGTGAAGGTATGTATGTGAGTATCTGTATGGGTGGTTGTATATGTGTCTATGCATGCATGTGTGGGTATGTATGTAATGTGTGTCGGCATGTATGTGGGTGTGTGTATGTATTCATGTTTGTGGATGTGTGTATGCATTTGTAGATGTATAAGTATGTGGGTGTAGGTATGTATGCATGTATGTGTGTAAAGATGTAGGTGTGTGTATGTATATGTGTATATGTATGTTTACATGTGAGTGTGAATGTGTGGATGTGGGTGTCTGTACATGTGATTGTATGTGTGTGTATGCATGTGTAGGTGTGTATGTATGGAATGTGTGTGTGCATATATGTCTATATATGTATGTGTGTGTCTTTTCTGTTTGTGTATATATGTAGATGTATATATTTAGGTACGTCTGTATATGAGTGTGCAAGTATGAGAATGTGAGAGCATATATATATATATGTCTGTGAGTGTGTAAGATTGTGTACACATGATGTATGTATTATATTCTATAATGTATATTTTTATTCTATATCTATAACATGCATTTTAAATAACAGGCATTGGTACTCCGGAAAACGAGTGCTTAGAAGGGCCGAATGTCAGACGGGCCTGCGTGCCCAATTTGTAACCCTTTGAAAATAAAGTTTGTTCGTTCGTTCGTTCGTTGTTCGTTCTTCTTCTTCTTCTTCTTCTTCTTCTTCTTCTTCTTCTTCTTCTTCTTCTTCTTCTTCTTCTTCTTCTTCTTCTTCTTCTTCTTCTTCTTCTTCTTCTTCTTCTTCTTCTTCTTCTTCTTCTTCTTCTTCTTCTTCTTCTTCTTTTTCTTCTTCTTCTTCTTCTTCTTCTTCTTCTTCTTCTTCTTCTTCTTCTTCTTCTTCTTCTTCTTTTCCACCTTGCACCTCATCGAAGTGTCGGGGGGAGATGTAATGTTCGTTGATGAGCTCTGTCAAGAGCACTATTGAAACTGATGTTCATTTCTGTAAGGCTGTTCTTAATGCCATCACTCCTTATTTTCCGAGGTCCTCCACTCGCTCTATACCCTTTGTAACGTTTTAGTGTGGTTCGCTGTACCAGGGCATTCTTGTTAGGTGTCCAAACCACTTCATTTGTTGTTCTTTGATGACCTGTAAGACTGGCTTTATTCCTAGCATTCGTCTGATTTCTGTCTTTTCTTGAAACTCCTGCAGCTCTTCTAAGGCATTTCATCTCTGTTGTCACAATTTTACGACGTGATAAAACCGAGTTGACAGAACCAAATGGCCAATGCAGAAAAGCTGCTACTATCGGGGGAGTGAGTGCACACACGAATATTTATGATGGCAGTGGGTGTGTCTAGGTTGACAAAATCTAGTATTGGTTTGAGTACCGATTACAGTGCAAAAATCCGAGGTAGCGGGAGTAAAATTTAGAGATTGTGGATTGTTCTTTTGCACATGGCATTTAAAGTAAAGAGCTCGCTGGCGTTGCTCTGAGTTGTCTTATAACTCCAGTTAGTAGTGTCATTATTGAGACGATGTTCTGTCTTGTATCATCAGTCAGAACAAAAGAAATCTGAAAGTATGCTGAGAAAGGTGAGGAGGACAGGAATGCTTCGAGCAGAGTGGCTAGCTTCATTAGAAAGGTCACGGGTGGTGAGCATACTTTGGATCTTTTCTCCAGGCCATACCGGCGTGGTGAGTAATGAACAGGCAGACAGATTAGCCAAATCAGCACCACTGGGTGGTGATTTGATACACCACAAGGCAGATGTGGTCAAGGCCCTTTAGGTACAAGTAATGGAATCAGTAGAGAAACAAGATTATTATGGCCTGGAGAGAATGAGGCATCTGGGTGTAACCAGAGGGTCTGGCCTGCTCACTGCACTCAGAGAAAAGGCAAGACGGACATATAACCAGATTGTCACCGGTACCATCAGTATTGGAACTCTGCGCTGGCTGCTGAAAATAAGGACGAGGCATACATGGAATGCCCCTAGTGATGTGATGTCAATTCTTGACTCAACTCAACTCAAAACAAAAGACAGAACTAGAACTCAACTGCAGCTTCTTGAGTGAGTACATTAACAGAGTTGCAAAACTGCACAGGCTGAGTTTACATTCCATTTTCGCTCGGACAATATCGTTTTTTTTTTTTTTTTACGGAGGCACAGATTGTCCCGTCCCTTGGCAGTTGGAAATCGAAAAGAGTTACCTAAAGACCTTCCCCGGGAAACATTTGCAGATAAAACTCTACCCAAAAGAATTTCAGCATCCTCCTCGCCGGTGCTACGGAGCCCGTGCACTGCGCTGAGCTTCTTCAGACTCAGACTTTAGTTAGAAAAGAATGGAGCACTTATTTATACCACCCGTGTGCCATGATGTTGGTCCGTTGTTCAAACTTCAAACTTCAGACTTGAAGATTGTCCTGTCGATACTGAAGGGAAAAAAAGTCAATCGGGACACAGGACCTTTTTTAGTAACGAAGGTACGGTCTTGACCAGTGGTCGGCAAACGTTTTAGTCAAAAAAGCCAAAAAATCAGCAGCAAAAGGATCACAATTTTTTTAGAACAAAATTTCTTCCAAGAACCTGTCAAGAACCTTGCTTTTCGGAGTCAAAACAAGTTTGTGGCCGACAGGCCGATCCGCACTCAGATCGCCAAACAGCCGCGAGCTGCAATTTTCTGACCACTGGTCGGGTGGTTAGTTGCGTAATCTTTACAGGACGTTGCAGAACCAACCCTAACAGCCCCTGGCTTGTTGTGTGGTTTCTCTAGGCAAATTTACGTCCAGCAGTTTGTCATTGCTTTGAAACCAACGCAAGGCGCGTGTCCCGCTGCTGGGATCGAACCCGGCATCCCGGCATTACGAAGCGTTCGCATCGGCTTAGCCACAGAGCCTGCGACCACTGGTCTAGACCTAACATTTAAAAAAAAACGATACTGTCCCGACGATATCTTTTTTTTTTTTACGTTTTTTTTTTTTCCGCTTCCGGTGACAAGGGAGATATAAGCTCCTGCTTCGTGCTCTTCTGGCTGCTTCAACCATAGACACATCGTGGTGTTGTAGAGTTGCTCTGATATTATCTTCCCATGTATTTTTTTTTCTTGGTCTACCTCTTTATCTACATCCTTTTCCTCTCTTGGTATATGCCTTATATGATATAGCGTGAGTATGCATTCTCTCCAAGTAGGCACACCATTAGATTTGCTGTCTTTTTATGTAATTTAAAACTGGTTCTGTGCCGACTTTCTCTTGTATGAAATAATTTCTGATTTTTTGTCTCTTCTGGTCACTCCTACAGTCTTTCCCAGATAGCGTATTTCCATGGTGACTAATTTAGGCAATATGGTCATCCTATAGTTACAGTGTTGGCTCTGTGGCTAAGTCGATGCGAACGCTTCGTAATGCCGGGATGCCGGGTTCCATCCCAGCTGCAGGCCATGCACCTTGCGTTGGTTTCGACAGTGGTATCACGAAAGCCGACCGTCTAGAACGCAATGGCAAACTACTGGACGTAAATTTGACAGGGGCTGTTGGGGTTGGTTCTGCAACGTCCTGTAAAAGATACGCAAATAACCTTTTTTTAATAGTTACAGTAACTTTACAATAACTTTGTCTACTGACAACGTTTCGGGTTCTGATTTAGGTAAAGTTGACTATTTCTCTGTGGTCACCTGCATAGTTGTTAGGTCTCGCAACACCCCTCTTGAAACAAAGTTATTGTAAGTTTTATTACATAATACAAATGTAATATTTGCATACTGTTTGTACTTACACCTGGCTGATGTTAAACTCCGACAACGAGTTAGGCAACACGATGTCCCCAAACTGGCGTCGTGTCGTCCAGTTGGTGTCCAGGATTTTGTTCAGAGCGTCTCGCCAACGCCTGTCGGCAATCATTTCAGTTCATCAGTTTAGTTGATCTATTTGGTTTATTATTTCAGCCTATTAGTTCAGCTAAGTAGCTCAGTCTATCAGTTCAATTCATAATTCCAGATTTGTCAGCTCAGTTTTTTCGTAAGTAATTATGAAAACCGGTAGAGATATTTTTTAAAAAAAAAAGGAATACAGAAGGCAAGAGGAGCTTTCATAGCTCAAGGGAATTTTTGGAGGTCAAAAGAAATTAAAAGAAATACTAAACTAATTTTTTTTAATTCTTATGTCAAGTCGTTACGTTTGTATGGGGCGGAAACATGGAGAACAACTATGGCAATTACTAATAAATTACAGACATTCATTAACTGGTGCCTGCGCAGAATAGAGGGAAATAAATAATATGATAGAATGACTAATGTGGAGCATTGGGAAAGAACTAAACAGGCTCCAGTGGAACAAGAGGTGAGGAAAAGACGCTGGCGCTGGATTGGACACACACTGAGAAAACATGAGAACGGCATAACCAGAATGTCTTTGCATTGGAACCCACAGGGGCACATGAATAAAGGAAGGCCAAAAACACACGGAGAAGAGAGCTTGAGAATGAAGTTAGAAAGATGAGGAGGACATGGGGAGAGCTCTATGCAATAGGGAAAGATAGAACGACTTGGCGTGAGTTGGTTGAGGGCCTATGCTCCATTGGGGGATAGAAAGGCAGAAGAAGAAGTAGGAAATCGGGTAATCCCAATATCAATAATGAAGATCTGCTGGATCTGCACCACTGGATGGTGATTTGATACATGACAAGGCAGATGTGGTCAAGGCCCTTTAGGTACAAGTAATGGAATCAGTAGAGAAACAAGATTATTATGGCCTGGAGAGAATGAGGCTCCTGGGTGTAACCAGAGGGTCTGGCCGGCTCACTACACTCAGAGGAAAGGCAAGACGGACATATAACCAGATTGTGACCGGTGCCACCAGTATTGGAACTCTGCGTTGGCTGCTGAAGAGGAGGACGGAGCACACATGGAAATTCCTCGAGGGCTGTGATGTCAGTTCTTGACTCCACTCAACTCAGCAACTGCCAGTACCAACTTCAAAGCCAATGGGCCACCCCGCTGTTGTGTGCGAAATTCTCCACTCTCTTCCATTGGCCCAAAATGTTTACATTCCCAATCCGGCAACACAACAGGAATGCCAGTGTTGTACCCATGCTTCACAAAGCCCTATCTTCACTAACTCTTTAAACCCCACATGTTTTGCACACAACACCCGTAGGTACCCTGTAGAATGTCTACCCAAAGCTAGCCTTCCACCTTAACCCACCCCCCGCAATTTCATTAGGAAATTAATACATTTTAAGAAGATGAGAATATATGAGCCTATCAACTGTATAAGCCATACTAGGTATTTATTATTACAATGTTGTTTTTCTAGTTTTCCATTTTAGTTTATATATGTGTATGTACCTATAAACATGTTCTTTTCTCGAGTTTATTCTTGAATAATAGTTTTTGGGGAAGCGCTGGGGGTGGGAGGGGTGGGGAAGGCCGGGAACACACAGAAAAAAAAACGGCACTGTCCGAGTAAAAGGACATATCGTTAGCCCGAGGTGACGACGTCACGTTAAGTTGATGACGTCAGCACCATGGCCATTCCTTAAGCTGGCTATGGTCCATCACTGTTCCTTGTGGAAATACAAAAGTCAATTAAGGACCCTTTTCCCTGCCTTGGGGCGTATCGAAAATACAGTGCCAGACCTGTGTTTTTTAAACACCGTCACTATCGCGACGGCCGTCTTTACTTCCCATGACTTCACCTGGTACCCATTAAGGATAGGTCGATCTGGAAGCCAATGTCATTTTTTGAAGACAATTCAGGCTCTGTCTCTGCAAAGGACCTGCTACATGATGATGATGAACGTGCATGACTGGTAGCGACCAACCTGCTACATGATGATGATGAACGTGCATGACTGGTAGAGACCAGTAGCCATGATGCCTAAATTATCCGGTTCGAAACCCCCGCTAGTCCTGAACACCCGTATCATAGGCCGCTGACCAGATTTAGGGAGCATGCTTATGAAGAAAGACAGGATGAATTCGAAGAAAATGGTGGAGTCGCTGAAGAAATCCCGCCTCATGAGAATTATATTAATTTGTGTGCCAGGACACTCTGGGGTAAGAGGGTATGGACGTGCGGATTGGCTTGCTGGCAGGGCCACGGTAGGTACAGGAAAGACAACGGGCCGGGCCGATATTCTCAATGCTTTTAAAGAATCAGGACCAGAATATGATTAAGGAGACGAAGTTAAAGCAGTAACAATCAAAAGACTACAAGAAATTCAGGTCAAACACTCTACATGTAGCCAAAGAGGAATAGTAAACCAACATGGTGTTATCAGTCGCCACGGGCTAAGGTAGATACTGACGATGTGATCCGAGCACTTAGGGCTTGAGGATAATATGTCGATTAACTAACTTATGAGCATAAATAGCATCTAGTACCTGCTGAAGCGGTCAACCAGATTGTCCCTCTTGGGGGACACGCAGCGTCCGTCATTGGTCATGTGACTGCGAGAGCACGACATCCTTGTCTTGTCGACGTCGGTTCTGCCCATCAGCCCACAAGTTCGGTCACCTGCCGAGACTTCTGGAAAATCCACACAGTCAAGATGTTATTACAAGTGACGGAAGACAGGATTGTGATCAAGGCCGCATTTAGGCCATGTGAAACTGCCTGGTCTAGAGGTTAATGAATGCTGTTACAATATCATGACCCTCGGGTACTAGGGTTCGCTTTCCAGGCTGATTGGTTTAAAAAAAAAGGTACTTATCACGAACTCGCTCCCACGAATAGAGTTCCTTCCCTCTCCAGTCATGCCGCAGCCGATCCCACAGTCTGTCCCGTGTTGGACACAATTTTCTTGTTTTTCTAAAGCCCCCAATCAGGCTGTTGCCGGAGGCCCTAATACAACCCAACTATTGGGCTGAACGGGGATTCTAGGACCTGTCCCACCATCCGAATAGTGGTACTTTGTGTCATAGGGTTTTATCGCTTGGTGTAATATTCTAGTAGGGTTTAACGTACCACAAATATCACCACGGGGGTGTCATACATACTAAATAGCGGTCTATTTTAATTCATATCCTTACCCGCATAGGACTACAGGTTACACTTGGTCGTTACGAATGCCCTAACTATAGTCTTTTAAATTTTGAACAGGGTATCTACGATCTACGTTCCTTACCTGTCGTCCACATTAATAATTTTTTTATAATTATTATTATCTTAAAATTGTATAGTAAACATTGAGGTAATAGCTCGGGGGGGGGGGGGGGGGGGGGGGGGGGGAAAGGGGGGGGGTGGAGAACTGATCGATGGGTCGATTCTGATACAAGTGTCATAGTTGTGTGACGCGGTGTTGAAGACATATTGTGTATATTATCTTCTTCTTCCTCTTCTTCTTCTTTTTCTTCTTCTTTTTCTTCTTCTTCTTCTTCTTCTTCTTCTTCTTCTTCTTCTTCTTCTTCTTCTTTTTCTTCTTCTTCTTCTTCTTCTTCTTCTTCTTCTTCTTCTTCTTCTTCTTCTTCTTCTTCTTCTTCTTCTTCTTTTTCTTCTTCTTCTTCTTCTTCTTCTTCTTCTTCTTCTTCTTCTTCTTCTTCTTCTTCTTCTTCGTCAGCTGTAAACTCTGGCGAAAAGTTCTGGTTGTTCATCCACTTCTGACTGCAGTTCTGTTCCAGCACCTGAGTGTTGCACGTGCATCCATCTTATAGATCTTACTCATTTGTGTGCACTCTGGTTCCTTGCCTCTCAGGCAGATGCACTCAGACTTTAAAGGAAGCTCCCAATTAGTCGACTCTTACGACATGCTTTAGGGAAGGCAGTGGGTCTATTCTTGTTTTCCCTATAACAGGGCCTCGGAAAACACACGGGGAGTGTTTATTCAATGATCACCTTATTAAGTTGGTTGTGTATCCTTTACGTGGCAAGAAACAACTTCAGTGTTTTCTGGCTGTTTGTAATTTCACTTTAAGCGACGCTGGAGTGTCCTCTCTGCTGTAAAGGTCTTACTTGTTTGAAGTAAGTTAAGTAGCGTATTCTTTACAGGATATCGCAGGAACAACCACAGCGGTTTATGGCTGTTGTGATTTTTCTGGGCAAATTTGACGTTCAGTTGTTTGCCATTGCTTTCTAAACGGTCAGCTTTCGAAACTAACTCAAGACACACAGTCTGCACCTGGGATCGAACCCAGCACCTCGGATTTACGATGCGCGTTCGCAACGCCTAAGCGACAGGCATGTAAACACCACCTGAAAGATCCCACCATTGATACAGACAGCTGGGGAAAATCACCTATAGGCCTACTTCCATGGAGACAGGCAGTGAAAGAAGGTCTTCACTTTGCAAGAGGCAAAACGCAGCAATCTATATGAAGGAGAATTCTGAGACACAATCATCCTCGGTGTAATTGAGCATCAAAGTTTCTGTGAGGCAATGGTCACTGTCTGTGGCTTAGCCGTTACGATCGTGCTTCGTAATGCTGGTGTACCGGGTTCAATCCCAGCTGCGGACGATTTGCCTTGCGTTTAGTTTCGACAGTGGTACCGAGAGCTGACCGTTCAGAGAGCAATGACAAACTCTTGAAGGTAAAATTTGCCTAGAAAAACCACAACAGTAAAAAAAATGCTGAAATTGGTTCTTCAACGTCCTGTTAAGGGGACGCAACTAACTTCTGTGACAGAGACCGTCATTCCCACACTAGACCACACTCATACCAGATGATGATGTTCATAAAACTAGCGGTACAACTTTATGGTTGCTAGGGACTGACGGTTGTCTGCTACTACTGATTTGAATAGACAGTATTACTTTCAGTAGTTTGCCATTGCTTAACGAACGATCGGCTCTCAATACCAATGCAGTAAAGCGGGATTACGGAGAGCAATGGTAACGCCCGGCTCTCTAGCGTAGTTGGCTAAACCGGATTGCGCGGTGACCGGGTGACGAACTCCTTGTGGTCCGGGCTCACTCCCGGGGGTAGGCACAAAAGCCACATTTCTTCCAGATTTACGGTATTTACAATGGAATCAAGGCCGAAAGGTTGTGATATCCATAATACCGAGCTTAAGGGTTAACAACTCACGGCTTCTGGATACTAAAACAAACAAACAAACAGCAATGGTAACAACTACATCATAGACCTTACTAACAACATCAAAATAATGATATTCCACCTTACTTCATAGAGGCTCTGTCTTTACAGAGCTGGTGTCTTCCTTCAAAACAGGGGCATCCACACCTGTGAGTTTAAATACACTGACCGCCCCCTCCCCCAGGAAAAAAGATTAGTTAGAGTTGGATGTGAAAGGGCGTAGGGGTGTGGGGCGTTGGGGGCTAACCCCCTAAAGTTGCAAAGAGGTTAAGCTATCCACTCCCCCCCCCCCCCCCCTTTCCGCCCATCCCCCCCTTCCCCGCCAACCACTTTTAGGAGTTCTTTTTTTTTTTCAAGTTTTTGATTACTCACATCATATATTTTTTTTCAAGTTTTTGATTACTCACATCATATATTTTTTTTCAAGTTTTTGATTACTTACATCATATATTTTTTTTCAAGTTTTTGATTACTCACATCATATATTTTTTTTCAAGTTTTTGATTACTCACATCATATATTTTTTTTCAAGTTTTTGATTACTCACATCATATTTATTTTTTTCAAAAACAAAAAATATTAGTTTACGTGTTTACGTTTAGCACATTATTATTATGAAGCTTTTAAAGGGAGCTCAGGTCCATCCCGGGCCAAAACTACAGTAATCTTTGTGTCGCCTCCCTGGACCCCAGAAGACTGCTTTTTTGGAGGGGGGGGGGAGGCGGAAGCTTTAACCTTGAGCCGCGACTTTAAATTATCTAAATACAAGGAAATGTGGAGATTTCACTGGAGACGTGGGGGTTTCACGCCAACGTCTGGCTTTCATATAAAACGTGTTAAGTCCATGAAAAACGTATTTAGTTCACGGGAAATGGGTTGATTACACGAAAAATGAGTTGTCTATGGAAAAACGTGTTGAGTCCATGGAAAAAACGTGGTGACTCACGGAAAACGTATTGTTCACACACAAAAAAAAACGTGTAAAGTTCAAGGAAAACGTTTGAGTTCATGGAAAACTTGTTGATTTCATGAAAAACGTGTTGAGTTCATGAGAAATTGGTAATTTCGATGAAAACGTGTTAAGTCCACAAGAAACGTGACGATTTAACGAAGAACGTACTGCTTTTAGGAAATCGTAATTTTTTATTTTTTTTTTTGGGGGGGGGGGGGGACGTATGATTACCATGGAGTCTTGGTGCTTCTGCGGGAAACATTGTGACTTCACGGGAAACGTAGTAATATCGTGTAAACATCAACATACAGCAACGCAGAGAACGATACCCGTGCTGTCTGTCTGTGAGGAGCATAGGAGTAGATCCTTGATCTTGAGGCGGTACAGCGAGGAGTAGTACTCCAGATCGTTGCAGTAGACGGAGTCTCTGAGTGCGCTCATGGCTGTGTCCCTCATGACGTTGTTGGCGTGGCTAGCCAGGACCTGCTGTCGGATCTGTAGCATCGTTAGATACAGGCATATCAAACATACAAAACTTTCAAACATATAAAAGATATAAAAACAATAACGTACATCCCTTCACCAACTTTCAGAAATGATTATTATACATAAAACATCGACCTACATCCCTTCACCAACTTTCAGACACAAGTATTAAATATAAAGCATTTACCTACATCCCTTCACCAACGTTCATACACAAGTATTATATATAAAGTATTTACCTACATCCCTTCACCAACGTTCATACACAAGTATTATATATAAAGCATTTACCTACATCCCTTCATCAACTTTCATACACAAGTATTATATATAAAGCATCGACCAACATCCCTTCATCAACTTTCATACACAAGTATTATATATAAAGCATCGACCAACATCCCTTCACCAACTTTCAGACAAAGGTATCATATATAAAACATTATTGCACATCAACCCTATCAACTTTTAGACTTAAGGATCAATGATTAAACACCAATGTTCATCGATTCCCTAACTTTCATTTTTAACAGTCGATGATGAAACAATAATGAGCATCTTTTCAACAGCGTTCAGTTATGATCACGTAAAAAAGAAAAGAAAATGTTGATACACCTTTTCTCAACTTTCAGACACAAGAGTCAATGATAAAACATTGATGTCGATCCTCATCACAGACCAGCCAACTAGTATCCCTTACCCGCTCTGACCTGCAGGGTACAAAGATTGGTGTTGCCGTCACAAGGGCCTTCATCATAACTTTCTTGGATGTTAAACAAAGCGTCTGTGTTTTTGTTTTAAACCCAGTTAAACTGCCATCCATGGCCTTAAGCAGATTAGTACCTCTGTATAGGCGCTAGAGAGATGAGGTTTTATAGAAGAAGAATAATGGGGTCATCACGGCCAGATCACACAGACTTGAAGAGGCTTTGATGGACATGAGCGCACACAGAACTGGTGTTACACACAGAAGAGTTCAGTCTACATTTGTTTGGCAGTTCATGAGAACTGCATAACTAGAGCAGGCAGTGAAAAGGATCACATGCTGACAAAAGGTAATCTAACGAGGAAGAGATGCAGGGAAAAGGATCACATCCTGACAAAAGGTAATCTAACGAGAAAGAGATGCAGGGAAAAAGATCACATCCTGACAAAAGGTAATCTAACGGGGAAGAGATGCAGGGGAAAGGATCACATCCTGCCGAAAGGTAATCTAACGGGGAAGAGATGCAGGGAAAAGGATCACATCCTGCCAAAAAGTAATCTAACGAGAAAGAGATGCAGGGAAAAGGATCACATCCTGCCAAAAGGTAATCTAACGAGAAAGAGATGCAGGGAAAAGGATCACATCCTGCCAAAAGGTAATCTAACGGGGAAGAGGTGCAGGGAAAAGGATCACATGCTGACAAAAGGTAATCTAACGAGAAAGAGATGCAGGGAAAAGGATCACATGCTAACAAAACGTAATCTAACGAGGAAGAGATGCAGGGGAAAGGATCACATCCTGCCAAAAGGTAATCTAACGGGGAAGAGATGCAGGGAAAAGGATCACATCCTGACAAAAGGTAATCTAACGAGGAAGAGATGCAGGGAAAAGGATCACATCCTGACAAAAGGTAATCTAACGAGGAAGAGATGCAGAGAAAAGGATCACATCCTGCCAAAAGGTAATCTAACGGGGAAGAGAGGGGATGTTGGAAAATATGGCATCCTGAGTTTAGTTAAGTCAAGGATTGACATCACAGCACTCGGGGCATTCCCATGCGTGTTCCGTCCCCATCTTCGGCAGCCAGCGCATAGTTCCAATACTGATGGTACCGGTCACAATCTGGTTAAATGTCCGTCTTGCCTTTCCTTTGAGTGTAGTCAGCCTCATGTAGTCAGGCATCATGAAAGGACATGTATATTATAAATAGCGAGTTGATATAGTGTAGTGGCAAGATGCTTGCCCGAGGATGGGACCGTCCTGGATTCGGATCCTAACGCAGACAGATTTTTTTCAAAAATTTACTTAACTTCCGGGTCGACCCAGCATTAAATGGGTACCAGGCGCAGTCCCGGGAAGTAAAGGCGGTCGGCATGATGCTGACCACATCACCCACCAAGTGCCGATTAGTCTATAAAATTGAGGTCTAGCCCTATATGCCCAATACGCCTAAAGGTGTGAAAAAGGATCCTTTACTATATTAGAAATATGAGGCAGTCAGTCTGCCCATGTAAGTGTCAATCAGTGCTCTGGACTTACTCTTCACCTACGCCGGCTGTAAACTCTGACGGAAGGTTCTGGATGACCTCCACTTCTTGACTTTAGTCTTGTTCTAGAACCTGAGGAGTATTGCGTGCACGTCTGTTTTACAGATCTAGCTAATTCGTGTGCAGGCTGTTGATTCCTTGCCTCTAAGACAGATGCACTCCCACTCTGAAGAAAACATGTCTAATTAGTCGACATTTACGACATGCTTATTAATTAGGGCGGGCAGTAGGTCTTTTTTCTCCTCCTTCCCTCCCTCTCCTCCACCCCACCCCTCCCCCACCCCACCCCCTTGCCCCCAACTCCTCCCGTTCTGAGATCTGAAATAAAATGTTTAATCTGTTGATACTGCCAATCACTCCCTTAACTATACCACTTTTGCGGTGCAGGCGGGGGGGGGGGGGGGGACTTTGAGAGCGGGGTTTTAAGACCGCATGGCTAGTGCTATCGCCACGGTCTGTGCAGTAGTGGTTTTACTGTTGTCCGCAACATAAGAAAATCCCTAGCCTTACCGAGGGTTCTAACACGGGTCTCCCAAACGTTCTGCCAGCCACTCCTCTTCATCTAGTGATCCTAGGTTGAAAAAGTAACTGAGGTTTGAGGTTTGAACAACGGATCAACATCATGGTACACGGGTGTAACCCATAAGTGCTCCGTTCTTCTTCAAACTCAAGTCTGAGTCCGAAGAAGCTCGGCACAGGTACAGGCTCTGTAGCACCAGCGAGGATTCTGAAATATTTTGGGTAGATTTTTTACTCAAAATTTTTGCCCGGGCAGCACCGTTAGGCTACTCTTTTCGATTTCCAACTGTTAGGGATTTTTTTTTTTTTTTTACTTGCGCAACAATGCGCAAAGGTGTCCGATCTCACTACACAGTGACCAGGGGGAATTATTAGAAGTCCAAGTCCACGTGAAAAAAATTCCAGCTTTTACCAGGGATTGAATCAGGAACCTCTAGCACTCGAGGCCGACACGATGCCTCGAGACTATGCGGCCACGTAAAAAAAAAAAAAAACAGGTGATACATGCGCTATTTGTACACAACTTTGTGTTTTTGATGCTTTCAAAGGACACTCTGGCGGACAGACGATGGTCAATGTATGGTGGGTTATACTACTATAGAAGATCGATTAAGTGATGTCACACCTGACGGATAGCTATTCTTTCAACCAACAGCGGGTCAGCAAAGAGATCTGACAGCAAGTCGCTAGTGACCAAGTCGTGGAAGACAGGCGAGTCAGGTTTCTCCCCAGAATGTGAGTCTGGTTCATCTCGAAGATCGCTCGGAAAAAGGACAGGAGGGCTGGGCAATCGCGGCTGTCGTTGCGTCCTGGATAGGTGATGCTGTAGGCTCAGGGGTTGCTTCATCTGCGAGGCGATTGTCATGGGTTTGTTCGGTTTCATGTTGAGACGGAAGCCTTGCTGCGACAAGGATGTGTAGCTCTGCTGAGCTCTCTGCTGCTGCTGCTGCTGCTGCTGCTGCTGCTGCTGCTGCTGCTGCTGAGCCAAAGCCTGGTCGCTGTATCGTCTTTGGCAGTTCTCCACGGCCTCGTGGAAAGATTTCAGCTGAAGGTCCTGGAACTGCGGCTGGAATCGCTTCAGCGGAGACTGCTGGCTATCCTGGTACCTCAGGCTCTGCCGCTCCTGCAGGCGACTGCTGAGTACTGTGGTGAAGTTGCCAACGCTGTTGCCTGTCATGCTGGAGGCGTACAGAGTCTGCGGCTGGCTAGCTGTGGTAGATGTTGTTATTAGGGAAATGGATCGAAACCTGTCTGTCCAGCTCTCAGGTCCTTCTCCTGAAAATGGGTAAATATTTGAGCATAGTCAGCTACAGGGACGGAAGGAAGCGCCGACCGGCCGACCGGCAGGCAGGCAGGCAGGCAGATAGATAGATAGATAGATAGATAGATAGATAGATAGATAGATAGATAGATAGATAGATAGATAGATAGATAGATAGATAGATAGATAGATAGATAGATAGAATAGATAGATAGATAGATAGATAGATAGATAGATAGATAGATAGATAGATAGATAGATAGATAGATAGCTATATAGATAGATAGATAGATAGATAGATAGATAGATAGATAGATAGATAGATAGATAGATAGATAGATAGATAGATAGATAGATAGATAGATAGATAGATAGATAGATAGATAGATAGATAGATAGATAGATAGATAGATAGATAGATAGATAGATAGATAGATAGATAGATAGATAGATAGATAGATAGATAGATAGATAGATAGATAGATAGATAGATAGATAGATAGATAGATAGATAGATAGATAGATAGATAGATAGATAGATAGATAGATAGATAGATAGATAGATAGATAGATAGATAGATAGATAGATAGATAGATAGATAGATAGATAGATAGATAGATAGATAGATAGATAGATAGATAGATAGATAGATAGATAGATAGGTAGATAGGTAGGTAGGTAGGTAGGTAGGTAGGTAGGTAGGTAGGTAGGTAGGTAGGTAGGTAGGTAGGTAGTAGGTAGGTAGGTAGGTAGATAGGTAGATAGGTAGATAGGTAGATAGGTAGATAGATAGATAGATAGATAGATAGATAGATAGATAGATAGATAGATAGATAGATAGATAGATAGATAGATAGATAGATAGATAGATAGATAGATAGATAGATAGATAGATAGATAGATAGATAGATAGATAGATAGATAGATAGATAGATAGATAGATAGATAGATAGATAGATAGATAGATAGATAGATAGATAGATAGATAGATAGATAGATAGATAAAGACATAGAAAGTCTCAATTTCATGGGTATCAACAGCTTGTCTGTCATTCATTTCATCAAAAAAAAAGCAAAATGTAGAAACATGGCTGACAACAAACTAGATACAACGAGGACCAAAATAGATCAAAATTGCAAACTAACGTGGGATATACCTTGCATTAGTTGAGGTGCCGTCAAAGGGAGATCATACACGGACAAGGCCGCAGTTTGTCGGTTATCTAGCCCTGAAGCAGATTGCATGATTCCGCCCGTCAGTGGGTTGAAGATGGCTCCCGGCACTGACTGAAAGCACTGCTGTTGTCGCTGATGTTGATGTTGTGGTTGAAGTATCAGAGGCTCTTCACTGGCTGTCGGTGTTTTAGAAAAAGGACCAGCGATCATGCAGCGGGGACCCATGGAAGCAAACAAGAGCTGCTTGTCAGTCTGTCTGAAAGCATCGTAGCTGACACTGTCGCTGCTAGCATATATCGCCGTGTGCATTGCATTGTCTTGAATGGACGCCGCTGTAGAATGACCAAGATTCGAACCCTTGTTCAGTAGAGCAGCTTGGCTGTTTAACATGAGGAAACTTTGGTCAAAGTTGGAAACTCTGACTGGGTTAGGTTTGGGAAACTTGAAGCCAGGTGGCGGCGATGGGTTGTCGGAGACTCTACTGTTATAAGTTGGAAGTTTGTGTTCGGCGGGCAGATTGGACAAGGAGATGACATTTGGGGTCAGCACGGACTCGACAACCGAGGTCACGATAGGGTTGTTGTCAACAGCGCTGGTCATGCTAGAGAAGCTGGGCATGAACCCGCTTCCCGCTTGAGACTGGGGAGTGAAGCTGCTGCAGTCTACAGACATCGGATCATCCCAGCCTGTTGATGTGTTGCGATCGAAGGGTTTGGCGTTACTACTAAACCAAAGCTGCTGCTCCATGGCGTACCCCGCCACTTGTCTTTTGCTGAAGGCGGACTGACTGCTGGGGTCCTGTAGGTTTTCTAGATCTGTCTGAACTGGACAAGTACAGGGCGGTCTGTACTTAATATTCGAATCTTTAGTGTTTCTGAAATATGTTTGTGGTTGTGGGCCGTAGTAGGGATGTGGGCAATATAAGGTACTCAGTTGAAGATTCACCAGCGAGCTGTCCTCGGGATCTTTAACCGAGCTGGCTGACGGTGTCTTAAATCTCGGGAAGCTTGCAACAGGCGTGTCAACGTTAGGTGGGTCACTACAGAGAACAGGAGATGATCCCCTGGGGGAGCTCAGAACTTCAGAAGCCTTTTCTCTAGAAGTGAGGCCCCACACGTGAGAGAACGCCATTGCCGGTTTGGCTTCAGCACGACTCCAGGCAGTCTCTTTCAACACATCTTTACTTCTGTGTATATCATCATCAGTAAGTGAACGTTTCGTGAACAGATGTTTCCCGCAGTTACCTACACGTCCAGGTTGTTTGTCATCAATACGATTGCTTTCCTCAAAAATGAATGAGTTTATTTCTTGTGGTTCGCCGTGGTAGTCGGAAAAGGCACTGCGATATGTGTAATGGTCACTCTTGTCTATACCGATATCCTTGTTACCTGCAGGCTCCAATCTATCAAAACCATCCACTGCTGACACGCTCTTTTTTCTTCCCTGCAGCCCATCAGACGGTCCTGAAGGACATTCGGATGATAAAGTAGAGGACATAGCGTCGCTCTGGCTATCAGAGGATGCAGAAGAATGCAAGGCAAGATCTTGATCCTCAGAGATTTGTTTGCCAGCCATGTTGTCAACGAAAGCGTTTCTGGCAACCTGCTGCCAGTCTTCTCCATCCTCCTGCACCATGCCTCGGGAGTCTCCGAGTTCAGAGGTGGTCTGGGCTAGGATGTTTTTGGACAATATGGACATCTTGTAGAAGTCTGAAGCCGGCAGACTGCCCACGCTATTGATGAGAACAGCCATGTGTTTACAAGATGCATCCCTGGAGCAGCCTATCTTGGCGACATCAGCCCAACGCATTGGTTGCGTACGTGTTGCTTCTTGCTTTTTGATTGGTCTCAGCACAACCGAGGACGGACTTTGTCTACAGACCGTTTTAACACAAGGTTTCCGACCTTCAACTTTAACCCACCCTTCGCCCGCGTCTGGGCATGTCCTTTCTTCAGATCCCGTGGAAATGGGCGGGAATTCTTCAGGCAGAGACATAGCCTGGCACCATTTTACATCGTGATCAGTGAATGTCTCCGCTCCCGGACAGCTATCTATTGGAAACTTTTTGCAGGACGTGTTATCCGCCTGGTTGGAATCCGCCAGTAGAGAATATTCACCCTGAGACTGCATCTGTTGCTCTTCCGGCGGACCCTGAACCTCCTGCTGTAGGTTGTAGAATAGACGAGACTGTTCTTTCACCGTGGATGTTTGGTCCAGATGTGAGAACATGTCCGAGTCCCTGCAGCGTTCGGTGGCCCAGCTAGCGCACTCACCGCTGTCTTCGTCGCTGCTGGCTTCAATCTCGGCCACCATAGGCACCTCTGACTTGGCGTGTTTGCTTTGCTTCTTCTGCCTCTTCCTTTTCTTCCTCTCTCGCTTCAGCCGGTCCCTCTCCTCCTCCTCCAAGAGCTGTGCCAGGTTCTGCTCCCTGTCTTTGGCTTCCGTCTCCTCCACAAACCTGAGAAACGTTTTGATGACGTGGCCCACCTGCAGCCCTGGGTGGTTGCTGAGGCTGATGTGGGTGATGAAGGCTTTATTTCTGGTCAAAAGCTCCTTGTAGAAGCTCAGGTTGCCGCTGAAGAAATATTCGTGGAGAGATCAACAACAGGGGAAAGACACAAACTGCAGAAGACTGAGACATCGAGAACATGGACCAGACACATCAACAACAGGGGAAAGACACAAACTGCAGAAGACTGAGACATCGAGAACAGGGACCAGACACATCAACAACAGGGGAAAGACACAAACTGCAGAAGACAGAGACATCGACACAAACTGAAGGAGACGGAGACATCGAGAACAGGGACCAGACACATCAAAAACAGGAGAAAGACACAAACAGTAGAAGACAGAGACATCGAGAACTGGGACCAGACACATCAAAAACAGGAGAAAGACACAAACAGTAGAAGACAGAGACATCGAGAACTGGGACCAGACACATCAACAACAGGAGAAAGACACAAACGACAGGAGACGGAGACATCGAGAACAGGGGCCAGAGACATCAACAACAGGAGACTGGCACGACAACAAAAGGATACACACACATCAAGAATAGGAAACAGGCACATCAACACCATGAAACAGAGCAATCAACAACAGAAGACAGACATCAACAACATGAGACAGATAGTTAATCAACAGAAGACCGATAAAAACAAAAGAAGACAGACACATCAACAAATGAAAACATGCAAATCAACATAGGTTGGCAGAACAAAAACAACGGATCACAGAAACATCAACAACAGGAGACAAAAACATTAACTACAGGAAACATACACATCAACAACAAGAGATAGACACATCAACAACGGAAGACAGAACAAAAGCAGCGGGAGACAGACACATCAACATAATAAAGCAGAACAAAAACAGCAGCAGACTGACACATCAACAACAGGAGACATACACATCAACAACAGGAGACATACACTTTAACAACAAGAGACATACACATCAACAACAGGAGACAGGCGCATCAACAACAGGAGACAGACACATCAACAACAGGAGACAGAAACATCAACAACAGGAGACAGGCACATCAACAACAGGAGACATACACATGGGAAGGCAGGATGCAGACAAAACAACATATGCGTAATGGCAAGAATGTTCCTTTAGTACCATACTCTAATTGTGGAAGACTTGTTTTAATCTGGGAGGGTCTTGCTAGTCACACTCGCCATCACCACGGGCTGTCACATGCCTCCCCATTGCACATTATAACAGGGAAGGGCAGGTGCCAACATACAGCGTTTACAGTTGTATGCATGTAGATCATGGACATTATGCAAATAAAAAATAAAAATATTTCAGAACCAAAAA